CGCAAGCCCCACATAACCCCGGGCTCTCCCCCGAGGCCCGGGGTATGCGTTAGACATTTCCCCTCCGTCACCAAAAAAAAAAAAAAGGGTATGGAAGGACGCTTAGACTTTATCTCACAGGTATACGCGCAGTGCCAAACACCTGAGAGTCGGACGCACTTTTTATCGCTTTGGAATATGGGTCAACGTCCTGAAAGGACGCTATAACGCCTATTTCCTTGAGCAGTGCGTACGTCGGTCCAATTTCGAGTCAAAGAAATGAATCTTTAGAACTCGGGAGTGGACCAGGTGGGATCCTTGGGAAACGGCGATAGTACGAGGTCTTTTGAATTTAAAAATCAACTGAAGGAAATCATTTTGTTGATAGTTGAGGATTACGAAGAATATATTTAGCCTGATATCTTCGTATATTTCTTTATTGTGTTGCGATCGCGTATACATACGTCGTGTTAATGGTCGACATCTTTATTTTTCTCGCGCATGCGCGGTTGCGATAGCCTAACCAGAGGTAGCGCTCTACCAACTGAGATACAATTAAATTCGCGACATCCCGCCGTCCTTGAAAGATTCTGCTTTCAATATAACTCCAAACTTATTGAGTTCGTAAGCTGTTCTTAGACAACAAAAAATATAGAAAGAAAAAAAACTGCAACTATGATTAGCCTTTAATTGCTGAGATTTATACGTAATAATTACTTAATATTAACAACAAAAAAACAACAAAATGCACATTTGATTATTGTACGATTATATGACAAGTCCTTATTTCAAACGTTATGACATTTCTAATGGAAGTATACATAGTTTTGCTAATGGTCGATCCAACTCGCCCTTGACAGTTTTAACTGTTGCGACCCGAGCTATTCCGTCTGATCCGGTGTGAACCTTTAATACCCGACCTAGCATCCATTGCATCGGTGTTAACTCCTTCTGCTGTATCAGGACCAATTGCCCCGGATGTAACTGTCGACCTTTGCTCGTCTTCCACTTAGTGCGTTGTTGTAACTGATGGAGATATTCCACACTCCATCTTTTCCAAAATTGCTGCTGCATCTGCTCCACTCGCTGCCAACGTGACAATCGGTTGGTCCGGAGTTCGGCCATGTCAGGCTCTGGAATATAGTTTAAAGGTTCCCCGATCAGGAAATGACCTGGAGTGAGAAAAGAAATATTGTTAGGATCTTCTGTTAAGCCAGTAATGGGACGAGAGTTCAACACTGCTTCAATCTGTGTTAGCAAGGTGTACATCTCCTCATAGGTCAGGGCTGCTTGACCTACAATTTTCTTCAAGTGAGTCTTAGCTGACTTGATGCCAGCTTCCCAGAGTCCGCCGAAATTAGGAGCGTTGGGCGGAATGAATTGCCAAGATATGCTGTCCTCGGTTAAGTACTTCTGTAAACGTTTCGTATGTTGCTCATCGTTGAATAATCTGTGTAACTCTTGAAGTTCGCGGGAGGCCCCTACAAAGTTTGTTCCATTGTCTGAATAAATGTTGGCTATCTTCCTTCTTCGAGATATGAAGCGTTTGAGAGCATTTATGAATGCTTCCGATGACATATCGCTGACTAATTCGATGTGTACGGCCTTTGTCGTAAAGCATACTAATAGTGCAATGTAAGCCTTGGTTAACCTTGCGTTTCGTCGTCTTCCTTCCTTGATGTAGAGCGGTCCTCCATAGTCCACGCCGCATGACTGAAACGGTTTGGATGGTTGCACGCGAGCCGCCGGTAGATCACCCATCTTTGCTTGCGACATCAGCGGTTTGGTTCGAAAGCAGGTCACGCAATTACGTACAATCTTGCGTGTGACACTCTTTGCTGCCAGCGGCCAAAACCTTTGTCGAACTGCTGCCAATGTAGATTGTGGACCGGCATGTAGATTCTTCTTGTGATAATATTGTATGATTAATCTTGTCAACACGTGATTTGTCGGTAGCAATACCTGGTGTTTTGCCGTATACGTTAACATAGAGTTCTTTAGTCTTCCGCCGACGCGAAGGACTCCTTCCTGGTCTAAAAATGGACTCAAACCTAAAAGTTGACTTTTCGAGGCTAAATTTTGTTGGTTGCTTAATTGCTGAATTTCGGATTTAAATACTGCCTGTTGCACCTGTTTGCATAGCCGAATCAAGGCGACATTTAGCTCGTTGCTGCTTAACGGTCCGGTGATTCTATTTCCGTTCTCGCAATTTGTATAGAATCTCAGGCACCACGCTGTGATGCGTATGAGTTTGTCTAGTTCTGAGTATCGAGTATATACCTCATCGTCTCCTTGTAGAGCTCCTGTGACTAAGTGTGTTGCTACTTGACGCCGTTCAGGTAGAGGGGATTCGACCTCACTATCAGGTAGCTGAGGCCATTCGGTGCTGTCCAACTGCAGCCATTCTGGGCCTTTCCACCATATTGACGAATTGATAAGCTGTGCGGGAAACAGGCCTCTGGAAATGAGGTCCGCCGGGTTGTCTTCTGTCGGTACGTGACGCCATTCTTGGTCAGTAGTGCGCTGTTGTACTTCGCTCACCCTGTTTGCTACGAATGTATTGAAGTTTCTCGAACTGGATTTTAACCATGCTAAGACGATAGTTGAGTCCGACCATAGAATTCGACGGTTGAATTTTCTTGGCACCGCGTTCTCCACCTTGCTGAGTAATTTGGCAAGTAAGACTGCTCCGCACAGTTCTAGCCGTGGCAGCGATATACATTTTAATGAAGCTACCCTCGATTTTGAACATGCCAATTTCACGAAGTGCTTATCATGCTTGTCAGTCACCCGGAAATAGACACACGCGCCGTGCGCTTGTATGCTCGCGTCGCAGAAGCCATGTATTTGGATTTCCACATACGGATGACAATCGATAATCAATCTTGGTACTCTTAAGGTATTTAGAACTTGACATTCTTCCTGGAATTGCAACCATTCAGTATGTATATCCGTTGGCACCGATGCATCCCAATCTATCTGTAGCTGCCATAGTCGTTGTGTCAGTCTTTTCGCCTTTGTGAGAATTGGCTCGACTAGTCCTAAAGGGTCGAATATCTGGGCAATTTGAGACATTATGCTCCTTTTCGTCACCCATTCCTTGTTATTCTTCGTGGGTACTGTGAATTGAAAATGGTCTCCTATTGAGCACTACTGTAAACCCAAGGTGCGGTTGTCCGCCTCTTTGTTGATTGTTAGCAACGAGTCCGAATCAACTGCTCCGTGTAATTCCTCTAGCAATTCATTTGAATTGGAAGACCACTTCCTCAATTGGAAACATCCTCTCGCTAACAGGCCTATGATTTGATCTCGAAGAATCCTTGCTTCGTGTATAGAATCGGCTCGCGTTAATAAGTCGTCCATGTAGAAATCCCGAGCAATGGCCTCCGTCGCTCGCGGATACTCCACTGTTTCCGATTCGGCCAATTGTTTCAAGCACCTGGTGGCTAAAAACGACGCCGATGATGTGCTATATGCAGGGTTGGTAAAGACTAATGTTTTTTTTTTAAGAATAAAACATATTGTGTTTCTTCTTGAATATGTTTTTAATGCTTCAAATATGCTTTAAACAGTACTATAAAAAAAACATATTTAAAACATATTAAAAACATCAATTAACCCTTCCACCACACACCTCCTATTTCAATCATCCAC